AACCTAGACAATGCAAGTTAGGTGTACTTTGTCAAATAGTTGTTGAAATGGTTGATTGCAGTGTCTGGAGTATATGGTCCTTGGTCCTTGCTGTTATAAGAAATCCTACCAAAGTCCTGTCTCTTATACACATCTAGATGTGTATAAGAGACAGGCGCAGAGAGGCGCGGATTCGATCCCAGCTCTGTGCGCCAGTTTCTGGTCAGAATCGGCGAGGAGGCCGGGCGGTTAAGCACAGCAGAATTGTAGCAGTGAGTTGCGTGTTCAAGCCCGCAACAAGCTGTGAATATTCTGCGATGTTAAGAATCAGCGACAGGCCTACGGCCAAATAAACGCTGAAACCGCTATTATATTATATATAGTATATCTACATGTTTATTTATTAAAGCATTTTATCAGGATGAGTGGATGACCCACACCAAGCAAAGAGTGCATCGCTATTTGGACAAATTCCCACTTATTTCTCTGTGTGTGCCGTCAGAAAAATGAATCAGAATTTTCGCAGAATTTCTTTATTTTATGTGGGTCATCCCGACCCAGTTAGGCTTACAAACCACGCGTATCAGTGCTACATGTCGAAAGTGTGTCCCTATTTAGACAATATAACGCACTCATTCCTCTCCGTGTGCAGAGATGTGTCCCTATTTAGACAATATAATCCACTCATTCCTCTACGTGTACAGAGATATGTTCTATGAGATGTGTCCCTATTTAGACAATATAACCCACTTATTCCTCTACGTGCACAGAGATGTGTCCCTATTTAGACAATATTACCCACTCATTCCTCTACGTGTGTAGAGATATGTCCTATGAGATGTGTCCCTATTTAGACAATAAGTCCCACTTATTCCTCCAGGTGTGCAGAGATGTGTCACTATGAGATATCTCCCTATTTAGACAATTTAACGCACTTATTCTTCTACGCGTACAGAGATATGTCCCATGAGATGTGTCCCTTTTTAGACAATAAGTCCCACTCGTTCTTCCACGTGTACAGGGATATGTCCCTACGAGATGTGTCCCTATTTAGACAATAAGTCACACTTATTCCTCCACGTGTAGAGTCAGAGCTGGAGGCCCCCACGAGGTGCCCGCTGCTGGGCAGGTTCAGGGGGGCGCTGCCCGACGCCCCGGGCTACTGCGCGACGCTCACGTCAGACTGTCGTACTCCTGACGTCATGACGTACGTCGTCACGCAGTGCGTCAACACTTCTCTTGCTTACGAACGTACGTCTTTTGCGTTAATAATTATTATTGTTATCTATTCTTATTGTTAAAGTTAATAATTACGTCTTCTGTGACAATTATGTTGTTCGTCATGCAGTGCGCAAAAGCGTCTATTGCTTACGAATGTAAGTATCTTGCGTTAATAATTATTGTTAACTATTGTTAGTGTTAACTATTGTTAGTGTTAACTATTGTTAGTGTTAACTATTCTTATTATTAAAGTTAAAAACTACATCTGTAGGGATGATTATTTGTAGCGTGACGCTATTACATTATTACATTATTATTACACTATTACACTATTTATTACACTATTACACTATTACACTATTTATTACACTATTACACTATTATTACATTATTATTACACTATTACATTATCATTTGTATCGTGACGCCATTACATACGTCGTGCGCGCTGTGCGTCAACGCGTCTATTGCTTACGAACGTACGTCACTATACGTTTATTTTTCTTTAAACGTGAAAAAATGTAAAGTTAATTTTAGCTTCAAGCAAACAAGTGGCTTTCCTGCTCATAAAGTATTATAAATAGACAAATAAATAGTATAATAAATCGACACATATCGGTCAACAAAGAACGTATTTTATGGAAATTATTGTCCGAATAAATTTATAATAAATCGGGCAGAATAAATCTTAAAATTGGCCATAATGGAATACTAACCGGTTTTTAAATACGGGTATATGTGCATTATGAATCATAAGAAGCTTTTATTAAGCCCATTATAAAAGCCATGCATGCAAAGAATATAAGGCCGGTATGTATATGTTATGTATGGAAAAACAAATACTAGAATGACATCTGATTCTTCTCTACAAAATACAAATACTAGAATGATATCTTACAGAATTTTTTGTTAAGTATTGTTATTGTTAAAGTTAATTACTATATGTATAGTGATAATTATTTGTAGCGTGACGCTATTACACACGTCGTGCGCAGTGCGCCAACACGTCTGTTGCTTACCAACGTACGTACATATGCGTTAATGATTATTGTTAACTATTGTTACTTGTTAGTCTTTACTATTGTTAATGTTAACTATTTTTATTGTTAAAATTGAAAACTGCCTCTGTAGTAACAATTATTTGTATCGGGACGCTATCACCTACGTCGTGACGCTGTGTAGCGCGACTGTTGCCTACGAACGTACGTCACTCTACGTTTATTTTTCTTTCAACTTGATTTAAATGTGACGTTTATTTTAGATTCAAGCAAACAAGTGGCTTTCCTACTCATAAAGTATAATAAATAGACACATAAATAGTCTAATAAATCAACACATATGGTCAACAAAGAACGGATTTTATGGGAATTATTCTCCGAATAAATTTATAATAAATCGAGAAGAATAAATCTTAAAATTGGCCAGAATAGAACATTAACCGGTTCTTAAATACGAGTATATGTGCATTATGTACCATAAGGAGCTTTTATTTAGCTCTTGATAAAAGCCTTGCATGCAAAGAATATTGGCCTATTAGGGCAAACTATGTATACAAAGAATATAATTCCAGTAGTGTATATATTAGGTATGGAAAATACAAATACTAGATTGATTTCTTATTCTTCTCTGCAAAATACAAATACTAGAAAGATATCTTATAGGATTTTTTTAAAATGATTTTTATTAGATGATTTTTCGAAGCTCCTGTAGGATAGATCATTTTATAGCTTAGTTGCCGTAAATTATATGCAAAAAACATTTCCATGTATCTTCAGCCACTCTTGGAATAGGTCGGAAATGGTAACTATGAAAATATTCAAGTATCTGTTATCTGTTTTTTATCTAGAAGCTGAATTTTTTATTTATTTATTCTGCTTTCACATTTCGAATCGTTAAAAAATTCTTTTAATTTTAACAGACCTTTTTTTGACCATTTGTTAATGACCATGGAAAGAAGTTCATTTTGTTTCAATTACTGCCACGAGTTATTCAATTATTTAACATTCATCCATTTTTAAATTATTCTTACATTTCTTATCACTAGCTTGTATTTGACGTTTTTTAACCGAAATTCGTTATCGATCCCTAATACTTTTTGTTAATCATCAACTTACTTATATTTAATTCTATTTCCCTGGCATATCCTTGTGCACGTGTGTGTAATATTAAGTATAGTTTTGGTCGTGAAAATCTAAAAATGTAACATAGTTTTGTATGTTTTATATTTTTACGATGTTTTTGCCTGTGTAACTTGAACGCTCTATCAAGAGCTTGACGTATTGAGTTTGTTTGTCCTCGAATGTATTTTTTGGCGTGAGTCGACATTGTTTTTGTAACTAGTTTGCTTGATTGTGTGGTATTTTTTAAACTTTTGAACCAGCATGTCATTATTACTTTAGAACTACAGAATAACATTTGAGTTCTAATTTAAAAAGTATTTGGAATGCTCATTTGATGTTTTTGTCTGATCAAAATACAGAAGAACTTTCTGGCTTTGCATTTTTTAAAGTTTTTGTCTGTGTATGAGTTGTTCATTTACAAGCGTTTTCTCCTATTTACGTGGGTAATGTGTATGTTATGTGATCAATTCTAACCTTATTGCTCTTCATTTTGCAGATCCTATTCCTGCTTTAACTGGTGATTTAAACACACCACCCAGACCTCTGGACTCAATACCACCCCCCCTCCCACCAGAGATCCAGGTCAGTTACTTACCAGTCTCGAACTCGTCTCGATTCTCAAGTCGAACTCCCACCGAGATCGTCGTCAGCAGCTCCGGAGGACAAGGGAGTCACATCGTGCGGTTGCCTCCTCCCGAGATGACGTCTACTGTGAATTTACATTCTGGAAGTTCCTCTCCGAAGAAGGGGTCTATACCGGGCACCATCTCACTGTTGCCGTCAGACAACAGGGTCAGCATATTAGGAGGTGCTGTACAAAGCAATGCGCCTTCAAGTCGTGCGCAGGAGATCAGCGTTTCAAGTAACTACCCAAGTGAAGATCGTAGAGGAGTTATCGGAGCTCACTTAACTATCGGAGAACCTCAAACAGTGCGAGTGAAGAGGTCTGATGTCACTGCTCCTCCCAGGGTCTCTAGAGCCAAGACCACCGTCATCAGTTTCAGGTGGGATGCCAGACCCACAACCCGAAGAACAGACTTCTTGGGCGAGACCACCACTGAAAGATTGGATAACAGACCCCAGCGAACAGGGAGTGGACGAAGTCATCCGCCTTCTTTGCCGCCAATTGTAGATGCACGACAAAATCTGCCCTCGCCTCCGAGAGAAGAGCAATTTTCCGCGTCCATTGATCCTGGTTCCCGACGACCGTACAGTTGGCCAACAAATAATCGAGGCGACGCTGATTCCTCATTTATGAACCCCAGCAGACGACCTGTCACTCATAGCATCACGGAGCCTCCTTTTGCAGCAGATGATGGCGGCTCAAGTCGTGCAGCGTGGATAACTGAAGTTGATGACGAACGAGGCGAACGTTTTAATGTGGTCGTCTCGAGAGGTGATAGTTTTCCAGGCTCGACTTCAAGTGCTGATGAAAACCCCCTGCCCAGGAATTACCCTCCATTGAACCATGGTGTCGGTCGTCACAGACACACCGTTCACCGGCATGGTTCAACCGCACCATTTAGCTTCAACTCACGAGTTCCTGAAGCTTTTCCACCAGCGCATGATGTTGATCCTTCACTGGGAGGGCGGCCTTCTCCTCACCTTAATGATAGACGACTGCCTGCTTTGCATGACACGCTTGACCTTCCTAGGACTGTGGATTTGCCTTCTTCCTCTAATCGGAAGCCACCTTCTTCTTTCAACTTTGATATTCAAGATAGACGAACTATTCATCGCCCTAATAAACAAACCTCCAACACACAAAGATTCCAAACTACCACGCCCAGCGTCTCAAACCAACAACGTGGAAGTAACCTCGGAGTGAGAAGATTTCAATCTTCCAACGACGGACATCAGCATTTGCTTCCTACGAAGCCACCATTGCGCGTCGACCTGAACACAGGCATGTCTCTGGATCAGAATTTCGGACAACTTCACAATTCCACATTAGACGAAATAAGACAAGGAAGACTGGACGTTATTGATTTGGACCCAAGGCTGTTAACCCCGCTTAGGTCTACGCGTGGACAGCAAGTTTCATTTCTTGACTCGACAAGAGACAATCGACGCTCATACCTCGAGGACGACGACGGGTTTTGGTCAGATGACGGATTCTGGGTGATGAAAAATAGGAAACTGAACAACTCGGACATTCAAGTATCTTGGCAACATTTTCCGGAATCATTTTCTGAGAGCGTAGTATCCCACAATTTTAACGCAAATGAACCCAATAGACTTCACATTAAATCATCATTCACAAAGGATAGTGGCCCGCCAGGATGGGCGATGCCGAACGCTCCAAATACCTTGGGCCCCATAGTACACACCGATGCCCAAAGAACTGCTGGGGAAGATGACGGCATTAAAATTTCTACAAGTCTCATACCTAACTTGGCACTCACCAAGCCCCGAAATGATGACACGAGCATTTTAGGTTCTATTGGTTATAGCATTAGTCAGCTGGACAAAAGCAGTTCTGTGACCTCCCAGTTTGATGGCTACAAAAAAGACTCTGACAGTATTGTGGATGATGACTCATTTCAAGGTAGTTTAACTAGCAAACCAAAAAGACCAATGAATCCAATCACATCGCCACCTCCCCGGAAAAAGCGAAAACCGGTTGAAGTTGAAGGTTTGTTCGATGAAACAAGTTGTCAAGTTCCTCGGGCATTTTGGTTCTCCGACAAATTTCCGTTGATTTTGTCTTTTCTACACGTGGTCTCTACCGGAACTGGTTTCCTGTGCATCTTGGGCCACTGACCGAAGATATCCCCGACGAGTAGTTTTCCATAATTTGAACTGATGCCAAGATCTTTGTTTTGTGTCACAGAATTAATTCAGTTGTTTTCTTTGATTAAATGGTTTCAAAAATAATGGCTACTCGGATTATCTCAGTCGGCAACTTATGACTCGAACTTATTTCTCGTGTATTTCTTTCCCTCTTGGCGACACGTCTCCCGGATTGCTTTAACTTCAGCTACGGATCCTTCCGTCACGTTATTTATTTTTGTTATGTACACATTTTTGATTTTCTCTAACATTCTTCCCTGTTGCGAATTTCCTTGCTGTTTCAAACTCTTTTGTGTCATTTTCTTGTTTTGATGTTTGGAATGTTATATCGCGTTTAGTCATGACCGTTGAGCACTTAACCTTTGTTTGTACTATTAGGGCGCTAAGAACACGGTGGTATCTCTTCGCCGGGTCTCAGTGTGGGTCTATTCATTTTTGAAAAGCTGTACCGGTATTGATGAAATTTCCATATCTCTCAATCTCGATCTTAGTCTCGCCCGTGTCTCCACTTGTCTTCATCAAATCCTTACTTCGGATATTTTTAGACTTTTTTAGACTCAATGTTCGTATAATTGCTATGTAATTTTCTCTTACAAGAAATACATTGCATTTAATTGCTTTGAACAATGCAGAAGTGTGCAGCTGTCGATTGTTCGCTATAACCGTTGCGAAAATTAAGCTAACCTAATTGCCACACTCTTCTTCACCTAAAACGCGAAACGACTGAACCCAATACTGACAAACTTTTTTTGCAAGTGAAGTCTGAAAATTTTAATTTTTTTTGACGATGATTTTGAGTGTTGAATCAGCTTCCAAAAAATTGAATTTTCATCAAATTTGACCTTTCTCTCGTGGTTAGTTTCGTACTTCCATGTTCCTTGTTTTCGTACTTTTTGAATACTTCAGTTTATTCGATTGCATTTTGGAACTTCCTATACGGTGACTTTGGAACTTTTGCTGTGAATTATCTCTTGACACTATTTTATCTCTTGACACTATTTTATTACTTGACACTATTTGATCACTCGACACTATTTTATCATTTGACACTATTTTAATACTTGACTTGACTTACCTTATATACTTGACTGGTTATAAGTTGAAATAACTTGACTGACACTATACCATATATGAGGTAGAGCTTAACAATGGACCTGACAGACTCTTGACTATTCATCATTTCATGTCTTCTTGTTTGGTTCTGTTTCATTAACCATCAACGAATACTTGCCTTGCATGGAGATATTCAGCATCATTGCATGGTTTTCAGATAATGTAATATCTATTTGTTATTCATTGTTTGTGTTGATACATAGATTTATCATGATACCTTTTATCTTTTAATGACTTTTATCATAACCACGTAGGTAACAGAATGATCAAAATACCATTTTATTATTTCTTGTGAAAGTAAAGAGCGTCATTATTTGGACATATTGAGCCATTTATGACGTCTAACCATCCTATTACTAATCAATATAACACGAATATGTTAACTAAATCCGACACGCAGAGAACTGATCGGCTCAATGTCCAAATATCAACGCACTTTTGCACCTTTGTATGACATCCTGACCCCTTTTTGTCTTATCAAACTAACGTATCTGTTCTGCGTTCAAAACATGTGTGGGTTGCTGTTTTTGGAACATATAACCCATATATTTTTCTGAGTGTAGAACTTCCATAATGTGTGATGTGTGGGTTGCTGTTTTTAGACAATTTAACTTGTATATTTTTCTGAGTGTACAATTGCCGTAATGTGTGGTGTGTGGGTTGCTGTTTTTGGACAATATTACCCCATATTTTTCTGAGCGTCTAACTACCGTAATGTGTGAGACTGTGAGCCGCATTTTTTTAGACAATTTAACCCATATATTTGTCTGATCGTCCATCTATCGCACACCCCAGAGCGTTTTTTTTTTACAATATAACACATATATTTTCTGAGCGTACAACTGTCGTACTGTTCGGTGTGTGGGTCGCTGTTTTTGGACAATATAACCCATCTATTTTCCTGATCGTCCATCTATCGTAATGTGTGAGACTGTGAGTCGTATTTTTTTTTACAATTTAACCCATATATTTTTCTGATCGCACATCTATCGCACACGGCAGAGCGCGATTATCGCTGTATCGGCGAGTGGCGGGAAGACGATCACGTGTATGCGCTCACGTATCGTCCGGACACGCACACGCATGAGTGTTTCGTGGGGACCGAGACGCGGGACGGTCACGTGTACGTCAAGGAGGCGGGGGGCGTGGCGGGGGCGTGTGCCCGGGGGGTGCGGCCCGATGTTATGGGCATGCTGCTCGTCAGGAAAGGTGATATATCTTATTTATTATGGTATTCTTATTTCTTAATTGTGTTATGTTATATCTTGTGTTATCTTATATCTTATGTTATCTTATATCTTATGTTATTTTATATCTTGTGTTATCTTATATCTTATGAGATCTTAATCTTATGTTATCTTATATCCTATGTTATTTTATATCTTATCTTATATCATATGTGATCTTATATCTTACGTTATCTAATGTTTTTTATAACTTATGTTATCTTATATCTTATGTTATCATATATCTTATGGTATCTTGTATGTTATGTTATCTTATATCTTATGTTATCTTATATCTTATGTTATTTTATATCTTATGTTATCTTATATCTTATGTTATCTTATATCTTATGTTATTTTATATCTTGTGTTATCTTATCTCTTATGATATCTTATATCTTGTGTTATTTTATATATTGTGTTATCTTATCTCTTATGTTATCTTATATCTTGTGTTATTTTATATCTTGTGTTATCTTATCTCTTATGTTATCTTATATCTTGTGTTCTCTTATATCTTGTGTTATCTTATATCTTGTGTTATCTTATCTCTTAAGATATCTTATATCTTGTGTTATTTTATATCTTTTGTTATCTTATATCTTGTGTTATCTTATATCCTGTGTTATCTTATATCTTGTGTTATCTTATATCTTGTGTTCTCTTATATCTTGTGTTATCTTATATCTTGTGTTATCTTATATCTTGTGTTCTCTTATATCTTGTGTTATCTTATATCTTGTGTTATCTTATATCTTGTGTTATCTTATATCTTGTGTTATCTTATATCTTGTGTTATCTTATATCT